GTACATATGTCACTAGAGGCAGACACTCCATCACTGAGATGAGAGATCTGCCTCATGGGGAGGGCGTTGTATTCACTGAGTCAGGTGACTCCTAGATTTGAATTGTGAGAAGGAGCAGTAAAGCAAAACCACTGTTTGTGCTGCAAAGCAGGAAGCAGAGCCGGGGTAACGAGCAAACATGTCTCCCTGTGTATGAAGTCTCATCTGTGTGCTCACATACGTGTCTCCTCCGCAGTGTGTGGGCACCTTGTACTACATGTCCCCGGAGCTGTGCCAGGGGGTGAAGTACAGCTTCAAGTCCGACATCTGGGCCGTGGGATGTGTGCTATACGAGCTGCTGACTCTGACCAGAACCTTCGATGCTACAGTAAGTCCTCCCCCCTCTGCTCCGCTCCTCGTGTCCTCCGCTCCTCGTGTCCTCCGCTCCTCGTGTCCTCCGCTCCTCGTGTCCTCCGCTCCTCGTGTCCTCCGCTCCTCGTGTCCTCCAGTGTAGTGCGGTCCCGTGTGGGGCGGGGGTTAATGGGTGTAGTGCGGTCCCGTGTGGGGCGGGGGTTAATGGGTGTAGTGCGGTCCCGTGTGGGGCGGGGGTTAATGGGTGTAGTGCGGTCCCGTGTGGGGCGGGGGTTAATGGGTGTAGTGCGGTCCCGTGTGGGGCGGGGGTTAATGGGTGTAGTGCGGTCCCGTGTGGGGCGGGGGTTAATGGGTGTAGTGCGGTCCCGTGTGGGGCGGGGGTTAATGGGTGTAGTGCGGTCCCGTGTGGGGCGGGGGTTAATGGGTGTAGTGCGGTCCCGTGTGGGGCGGGGGTTAATGGGTGTAGTGCGGTCCCGTGTGGGGCGGGGGTTAATGGGTGTAGTGCGGTCCCGTGTGGGGCGGGGGTTAATGGGTGTAGTGCGGTCCCGTGTGGGGCGGGGGTTAATGGGTGTAGTGCGGTCCCGTGTGGGGCGGGGGTTAATGGGTGTAGTGCGGTCCCGTGTGGGGCGGGGGTTAATGGGTGTAGTGCGGTCCCGTGGGGGGGTTCGTTTTTACTCCAGGATCTGAAGCGGAAGTTTGGTCTTCGTCCCTCACACAGGAACCAGAAAAGCGGCCGAGTTCTGATGAGATCCTGGAGAAGCCTCTGCTGAGCCGGAGGAGGAGGTATGTAGCCGGACGAGGTGCTTCCTCCGCTCTCTGCTGTTTCCTGCTCTCCTCCTCCTCTTGCGGTTTAGGATAAATTTTGGTTTCTCTACAGGGAAATGGAAGACGAGGTGTCCCTGCTGAACAGATCCAACAAGCGCCCCAGGTGAGGTGCAGCACCCCCTTGTGCCCATCCCCCGGCTGTATGGAGTGTGCAGCACCCCCTCCCCGGCTGTATGGAGTGTGCAGCACCCCCTCCCCGGCTGTATGGAGTGTGCAGCACCCCCTTGTGCCCATCCCTGGCAGCATGGAGTGTGCAGCACCCCCTTGTGCCCATCCCTGGCAGCATGGAGTGTGCAGCACACCCTTGTGCCCATCCCTGGCAGCATGGAGTGTGCAGCACCCGCTTGTGCCCCTCCCCGGCAGTATGGAGTGTGCAGCACCCTCTCATGCCATCCTGTCCCTTCTCTTTCCCAGGCCAGGCGCGGTCACAGAGGCACCGATTGCAGTGGTGACATCGAGGAGCAGTGAAGTGTACGTGTGGGGAGGCGGGAAGTCCACTCCACAGAAGCTGGATGTGTTTAAGGGAGGTTGCCGTGCGCGGCAGGTCTGTGCCGGAGATGCTCATTTTGCGGTGGTGACGGTGGAGAAGGAGCTGTACACCTGGGTGGTGAGTGCTCGGCGCTGCTCGGGGTTGGTGTGGGGGGAGGGGCAGGATGTATGGGGGATTCTACACCATAATATACTCTTTGCTCAGAACATGCAAGGGGGATCAAAGCTGCATGGACAACTCGGCCACGGAGACCGCGCATCTTACCGGCAACCAAAACACGTGGAGAAGCTGCAAGGCAAATCTATGAAACAAGTCAGCTGTGGAGGAGACTTCACCATGTGTATTACAGGTTGGTATGAAGAGGTGATATGGGGGGGTGGGAGGGTACTCC